GATATCTTGAACAACTATCAAGTAATTTTTTTTAATATTTACTTTATTTTTACATTATCTTTCCTTTTTCTTCCAAAGAATCACCTCGATCAATTTCATTCAAATCTTCAATGTGAATATTGTAATAAGCAGTTTAGTTCCGTTAACGAACTCAATGACCATAAAGTCTCCAAGTGTGAGCAGATGATTGTTGACTGTGTATTGAAAGACTTTGGCTGTGACTCAAGAGTATGAACATTGTCTAAATGAAACTGATAACGGATATATAGTGTACTTCAGATTCTCCGTGGCACAATGGAAAATCATTATCTAACTGAGCAACATCAACGTGCTGCAATGAAAGTTATTTATCCAATGCTATCACAATTAAAAGACAAACAAATGAATATTGATTTTCCTCAAAGAACAACTTCAGAAGTTTGTAATCCTGCTGTAGTTCAGTTCGAAGAACTTCATGAAATGCTCAATATCTTGGTAGGTGGCATTGAAACATTAACTAATGATACGCAACGTCTAGCGAATGAATCACTTCAAATACAAACGGTACTTCCAAAATTGCCTGAAGATTTATTGGATGTTAAATCGTCTAGTGAAGAGTCGAATGCTTTTTTAGAAGGAGCCAAACAGAATCACGCTATTCTCTATCAAGATTTGCTATCTTTGAAAGAGAAAACCAATGATATGCAATTTGTTTCATACGATGGAACAATAGTTTGGAAAATAACGAATTTTCAAGAGAAAATGAGTAAGTTCAACAACCATTCGGTATATAGACATCTGAGTTTTTTGAAATTGATAGTTAAAAGAGTGAGCGTAGATGTAGGTGTCAGCAGTGTGAATGAATATAAGTACAAAACCTACACTCCACGTACAATAATATACTCTTGTATGCCATTTAAATGAACAAATAGAACAATAATTATAATAATCATTTTAAAAAATGAAATCACAGAAAGTAAGTAACAAGTCTATAGTACTAGTATAAATTAAGAAGCCTTGCCGAAATATAGAAACTTATTGAACAGATTGTCTCTGTGAAACTAAAAGAGAAATTTGAGTTTTGGATGTTATCTTCAAAGTGGTTGTTACCACAAGCATTTTTAGTTGATTTCTAGTTGATGCACAATCTGAAAGACAAACATCAATTTATTCATCTCCATTTTATTCATCTCCAAATGGTTATAAAATGAGAGCTCGCGTATATTTAAATGGTGATGGAAATGCTCGTCGTACACACATGTCAGTGTTTTTTGTGCTTATGCGAGGACAGAACGATCCAATTCTAAAGTTTCCCTTCAACTATAAAGTCTCATTCTGCTTGTATGATCAAACACCTTTACAACAACATATTATTGATTCATTTCGACCTGATATTAAATCAAATAGTTTTCAACGACCTCGATCGGATATGAATATAGCTAGTGGCATACCAAAATTTGTTAAATTGGAAATGATTCAACAAGAAGGAAATCCATACGTACGAGACGATACAATGTTCATGAAAATTATGGTTGATTTTGGAGAAATACACAAAACATTATTACCGTACGCTTTGAATCTTAATCCCGGTCT